GCAGTCTGCGATTTTGTGCCCTGTCTTTCCACAATAATGGCAAACGATGTTTGAAAACTTCTGCTTCTTCCTTTCAGGTCCCACAGTAGTTTCTGCTTTCGAAGTCTCTTGACGCTGCCCGATTTCATATACCTGCAACTGTTGCTGTAATTCATTTCGCGATTTGATGTTTGTGGTGCACACAAGCTTTTTTAGTCTGCTGTCCAGTTGCGCAGTATGCGCAAGCACAACTGACACCAACAATTCCTCCAGCTCCATATTTTTCATTTTCGTCATTAACGAAGTGACGAGTCGGCTTGCATACGACGACATGCACTCTCCAGTCCCTGGGCGTCCGTCTAGCAGCTCAAGAAATGTTGCTGTGGTTGTCTCTACGCCGACAAATCTTTGCGTAAAAAGTTGCTTGAACTCAACCCAAGTCATGCCAGGAAAACAGATTTGTGAAAGCCATTGCGATGCACTGCCCTCCAAAGCTTTACTGAGGGCAATCACGAGCGCACAACCCTCAAGTGGATTTTCAATAAAAATTATATCGGCCGTAATACTCCAAGCACATGCATCAGCACCGGTAGCTTCGGGGTTGTATTTGGGTAAAAACACCGTCTTTGACTCACGAGGCGCTGCGTTAGCCTGCACTGTTCGCAGCATCTCAAAAAAATTTCTATTTTGTTGCTCCAAAATTTGACACAACTGAGAGTTAGGAGGATCCAATCCCACTTCTGATGTCGAAGCGGCCGTAGGGTCAGAATTTTTTACATTTTGAGCAGCGAGTCCCGGCATCTTTGTTGGTGGCATTTGCTTCTCTTTTCTAAATTTCACAGTGCACAATCACGTCCGTTCGCTCAGACCATTTACTTCTGTCTGTCCACATCAATCCTTTGCCTCGCAACGCCACAAATAGTAACGAAAACCAGCGGTAACCGCTTTTGCTTCTTGCAACGCATCGAAAACCAGCCGTAACCGCTTTTGCTTCTTGCAACGCAACGAAAACCAGCCGTAACCGCTTTTTCTTCTTGCAACGCTTTCTTCGTGTCCTTACACGAATCAGCTTACAATGAACTACACGCACACCAACAACTCTATGCACGGGTCTCACTCAGTGAGAGAATTAACAGTAAGTCCTCTCACCGACTCTCAGTGATATAAGAAATACAAGTCGACAATAACAGTTACTCTGTTTTCTCTATTCTTCTTTCTTTTAATTTCGACTCATACAATATTCATGTTGCTGCACTTAAATTCGAATAACAATAACAATAACAATAGCAATGCTCTGACATATAAATATTTTGTAAAAAGGCACTCTAAGAAAAGAAATAGAGGACGCGAGATGACGCCGACCACTGAACAAAAACGAGGAAATAAAAATATAGATTAAAAATTTGGCGTGGGGCTTACCCAAATTTTCGCTGATTAATGCTATGCAACGATATCACTAGATGACAAAATTAGAGCTTACGCAGCTGATAGCGGAAAAATGAGTTCATGTGTGCAACGAAGCTTCTATCTGCCACTTGCGTGCTCTGGTGAAATCAGTAATGGCCGACACTGTTGAGACATCGCGTGACTCCGGAGAAGAGTCACCGAGTAATTCAAAGAAGCTATATAAATATTTACATCTAATTACGGAGCCAACCTCAGTACAAAACATCTATTCATATGTCAACACAAATTTGGGATAGATCATAATCAGCGCTAGAAAACTAACAAAATTAATTTCTTGTCAGCAAAAGCCAGAGCAGTGAATAACAACATATCTATAAATATTTTGATGTACTTATGCATGTATAGCGAACGCATACAAACATAGGTGATTCCACGCCATTGGCTGAGGCAAGAACTTCTCTTGAGCATACACTGTCCAAACACAAAAGTAAAATCAATCTCTGTGTGCTATTTATTTAACATAGTTATTGCACAAGATGCACTATGTGAAAAAATTATTTTTTCTTTGATTTTCTTGTAAAATTTATAATTGGTTTTTAGGGTTATGTACCATTTAAATAAAGCTTGCATTTCATGTATAAAGCATCGATCGTAAGTTTAAAATTTCTTTGAAAACGAAGCGACGCAAAGTACCATCGACCAGTTTTGCCGAAGGCAGGCTGGCGACTAACTTCGTTGATTTCGGCATTCGAACAGCCAGTCGACTGGCATGTCGTGTGAAGTAGGAACAGCCAGACTAGAAATTTTGCGTTACTCATCTTAGTGTTTATATTGTCTTTGGTTGTACACGAAACGTAAAAATCTTGCAGAGCTAATGGCACGTGTTGTCGAACTGGAAAGCGGAGCAGAGGCACCCGATCGACGTCGCCGTGTGGATATCAACGATGGCGAGGCCACCGTGCCATTTTTTTCTGGAGATGACCTTTTGTCCGTTCACATTTAGATTCAAAAAGTTAAAAAAGCAGCTAGTATATATAAATTAGACGATGTCCAACGCTGGGTACTTACCAACCGGCTGTAGAAGTATATGATGTACGAAAGACCGAAAACCTGGAAGGAGCTGAGTGATTCGCTTGTCAACGAATCCGGCCACGCGATGTCCAATCACGAGGCTGTAAAACGATTGCAAAGCCGCTGGATCGGAAAAAAAGAATCACTTTTGAGCTATTTCTTTGCCATGCGAAACATTGCTCCTTCAGCAAGGAAAGTTTATAGAAGCAGACGCTTCGGATACGCCGCTCTGTTTTATAATTGCACTTCGTTGGGCGAGCTGCATCAAAAATTCATGCGATACCAGACAGTGCATCTTGCAAGTGCAAAAAAGAAGCCCTCAACCTTTTAGGCATCTGTTGCAATTCGCGCACCTAATGAGGCCACTATGAGTGCACTTCCAGAGACATTGGTATGCCATGATGAGGAGGACACAAACGATAAATCATTTATCCAATTAAGACAACTAAGACTAACTTGTAAAGGGGATGCACTTAAATAAACATTTTTGCTTTGTTAGACACCGGAAGCCCTGTAAGCTTTATGAGCAAATCGGAAAGACGGAAAATCATCAAAAACTTGATATTAAAAAAATCATATTAAGAAGTTGACGAATAAGTTGGGTGTTCAAATAATTGATGCTATTTTGCAAACTTCATACAACTGGCAATAAGTTTTGCGTTTAAAGAAAGGACTTTTTTTGAGTTTTTAAAAATATGTTCTGGAGACATGAGTCAGTTGTTTGCACTCTTCGGTGCTTCACTTAATTTGTTAGCTCAATTGCAACCCTAGAAGGACCATTCACTCAAAGACAAAGAAAGAACATTGCATGAATGCGATACTGAATTTTACTGTTCTATCCATCTAGACAAAATTTTAATTTTTGATAATATATGAATATTCTATCGTGCAATAAGATCTACTGCTGAAAATTTGACCAATATCGGTTAAGAAACACATAAGATATTCAATTCATAGAAATAAATAGAATTGCAAATGCGATTGTATCATATACCGTGCTGCGTGTATGTGCAGCTACATAAGTTCGGAATCGATCTAGCAATCTCCGCCCGTATGTATGAACGCAACGATCTCGAAACCTATAAGAGCTAGAGACTTAAAATCGGAACGTCCTCATAGTGCTCGCGCAGTATGAATAAAAATATTCCAAATATTCGATAAAAATTGATATCGAAATTCAGTGTTTTGAGCAAATCTCTTTGGTTTTTAGAGTCACTAAACTTACATGTAGCTTAAATAGTTTTTATTTATCAAGTATATTTTATTTTATAGTTATCTCCACCTGTAAATCAAATAAATTAATCAATTCCAGCTACCCAGCTAATCCAAAATTTTAATGCAATTGTATGTTTTAAGAATATACGAATATTCTATGGCACGATAAGATCTACTGTTCAAAATTTGATTAAGATCGGTTAAGAAACACAGAAGTTAATCAATGTAACGTGCTTATATTGACACGTGTTTGCGGCAGCTAGCGCAAATTGCAAGAATTTCTGTTTAAGATCGGTTAAGAAATACCGAAGTTAATCAATGTAACGTGTGCTTATATTGACACGTGTACACACACATATTCATGCGCGTCTTTATTGAATTCTACCCACATGTGTTGTTATTTAAATTCGTTTTTTTTCTCATCGAATATAATGAACGAATTTTTTAAATTTTTTGTATATACGCTTAAGCAAACGAGAACCCCCGACTAGAGCCTCTTGTTTGTTAATGCTAAAGCAAACGAGCGCGTATCGCCAGCTTCATTTGGTATTGTTTTGCAGGAAGTTCAGACTATCCCCTAGTCGACAACTCCCAATTAGAGCCCTCTTACTTGCTTTTAGGATATTCTAATCCAACTTGAAAGTTTTCACCTTCACTGCTCCTACTGAACACAAATCTTATTAATATTTGATTACTATTATCATATAGCTCTATAGAAATATTCGGTCCGCAATAAAGTTTTTCCACAAAGGCCTTCTAATCCTTACGCAAGGATATTGCCTTCTTTTTTGCATTAAGCTTTTAATTTATAATCAACAAATTATGGTCAGTTGCACTCGACAAAAACGTTCTTATTTGTTTTAATATCCTCAGCCTATTGAAAATGGCTTAAAGTATATAATTTTCTTGTGCAAATGTATGTAAAGGGCAGCAGGAAGGATTTCCTTCTCCATGAAATATATATATTATTGATCAGCATCAATAGCCGAGTTGACCTAGCCATGCCCGTATGTATAACGCGCCGATTTCAGAACCTATAAGGGCTTGATATATTAAATCCAATTTTACGAGCTATAATTCTGTTTCCACGAAATATATACAAATTGATTTTGAAATTTGGTTTTTAATAATATCTCGGAGCCAAAAGAATTAAATTTGTAAAGGCTTAGATTTGTGCTTGGCATATAAACAATTTGTCCAATAATTACTGAATTTCTAGTTCAAAATGTGGCAGCATAAAATGTACATGTATGTGTGTGGTGTATGCCTTTTTGTGCATCTATATACATTATTTCTTGTTACTAAGTTTTTTATTTGATTCTTTTAAGGAAAATCAAAGCGGGCGAGTGCACTAGTTGCTGCTGTTGAAAAAGCTACTGAAAATTTTATACAGAAAGGAGAGCAAATTGCGTTTGAGAATCCAGATATTACGCAAGAAATGCTGTCTGCCGTCGATGAGGTCCGCAAAACAGGAGATGCCATGAGCATTGCAGCAAGGGAATTTTCGGAGGATCCATGCAGTTCATTGAAACGAGGGAACATGGTGCGAGCAGCACGGAATCTGCTTTCAGCTGTAACACGCTTATTAATTTTAGCAGATATGGTGGATGTTCATTTGTTGCTTAAATCTCTTCACATTGTTGAAGATGATCTTAATAAACTTAAGAATGCATCAAGTCAGGACGAACTTATGAACAACATGCGGGTAAGTTTACATTAAGTTGAAAAAAATAAAGGCATCATATAAAGAACCTTGATAAACTAGCAATTCGGTCGTAACGCTGGAGAGCTCATCAAACAAGCAGCAAAGCGTCAACAAGAACTAAAGGATCCACAATTGAGGGATGATTTAGCTGCCGCACGTGCAATGCTTAAAAAGCATTCAACAATGCTCTTGACCGCTTCAAAAGTTTATGTTCGACATCCAGAATTAGATCTGGCCAAAGTCAACAGAGACTTTATCTTAAAACAAGTGTGCGATGCTGTAAACACGATTAGTGATGTGGCCCAGGGCAAATCATCACAGCCTACCGATGTTTATAGTGGTGCAGGAGAACTAGCTGCAGCCTTGGACGATTTTGACGTGGGTTTTTTTTTTAGTAAATCTTATTGCTGTTTGATTAATTGCTTGTCATTTTAAGGAGGGTATTATAATTGATCCCATGACATACAGTGATAAACGGTCACGTCAACTGCTGGAAGAACGCTTAGAAAGTATTATTAGTGCTGCTGCACTAATGGCCGATGCAGACTGTACAAGGGACGAGCGCAGAGAAAGAATTGTTGCCGAATGCAATGCTGTCCGTCAGGCTCTACAAGATCTTCTTTCAGAATACATGTCAAATGTAAGTTATTTGGAAGCCAGAAAGCTAATAAGTATATGTATAATTTCATATTATATTTAACATACATATTTTATTTTAGATGGGTCAAAAAGATAACAGCCCCGCTCTAGATCGTGCCATTGATCAAATGTGTCGCAAAACTAGAGATCTGCGCCGGCAGCTGCGCAAAGCAGTTGTTGATCACGTATCCGATTCATTTTTGGAAACAACTACGCCATTAATTGACTTAATTGAAGCCGCTAAATCTGGTAATGAAAAAAAAGTGAGGGAAAAAGCTGAGATATTTACGAAACATGCTGAAAAATTAGTTGAAGTTGCTAATCTCGTGTGCAGTATGTCAAATAACGAAGACGGGGTGAAAATGGTCCGCTATGCGGCGGCCCAAATCGAAAGCTTATGCCCCCAAGTAATAAATGCTGCATCAATTTTGACGGTTCGACCCAACTCAAAGGTTGCCCAAGAGAACATGTCTGCTTATCGCCAAGCATGGGAGGTGCAAGTTCGAATATTAACGGAAGCTGTAGATGACATTACAACCATTGACGACTTTTTAGCTGTTTCCGAAAATCATATTCTTGAAGATGTAAACAAATGTGTCATGGCGTTGCAAGTTGGGGACGCTAAGGATCTACGTGGAACTGCTGGATCCATTCAAGGCCGATCGTCCCGAGTGTGCAATGTTGTTGAGGCTGAAATGGACAACTATGAGACATGCATTTATACAAAGCGAGTTTTAGAAGCAGTTAAAGTGCTACGCGAGCAAGGTTGGTATTGCCGAATTTCTTCAAACATTTATAATGTGGCTGGCTGATGGCTATAATTAGCATGTAGCGAATAGGAAGTGATGTTTTATTTAGCGTAACGTGTGGGAAAAAATTTAAAACAACTTATTATTTTAAGAGGGTAACGTGTTTATTTCCTTGTCCGCTTTCTTCAATTTTCTTTTATTATGGCAATATATCAGTCGAAATAAGGCTATGTTGTTTATGTTAATAGCAACAACATTTTCAATATAAATTATGCAAGATGCGTTTCGTACGAATCCAGTATGTCGGTAGGTGTCGGTAGGCGTCTAGGTAGGCGCCCGGTGGCGGGCTCTCAGCGTGAATCTGTTTTCGACTTCACTTATGTAAAATGCTTGCCTTATGGCTCAACAATGATTTTTTCTGTTTGCGCCTACTATGAATTCGGTAATGGTATCGGTAGGCGTTCTGCTCAATCCATTGTTGATGGTGTCCCGGTAGTGGGCTCCCTTCGTGCATCGATGATCGACGTCACTTATGTAATATGCTGGCCTTTTGGCTCAACAATTAAACGATTGATTTAATAGCAAATGCCGAAGCACGTTTATTGAGAGGTGGAGTGTCGACTTAAGCTATCAAAACAGAATTGAAACTAATTCCACAAGCGAGATAAATTATAAGCTAACAAAAATACCTAAGCTATAAAACTACAGCCGGCAAGCCAAATTAGCATAAGCGAGCATGCTGTTTTTGCAACTCATGCAAGGGATCAGGTTACCCAAGCTAAGTGCAATTCTTAGCCAATGGAGAGGTTACTTAAGTACTAGATTATGTATTTTTCATTTAATGGCTACCGCCAAAAAAAATTAAATTCTATAATATAATTGCAGTTACTATTTTATTTAATGCTGAGTTTTTGTAAGTTCTGTTATTTTATTCCAGTTTTTCGTTAACAGATGTTTGAGCCAATTGCACGTTGTTTGGTGGATTAAAGGTAGTTACGAATGTGATACCGACAGGGAAACTATCTTTTTTTTTATACCCTGAACCCACTGAAAATGGTTAAAAAAAGTATAATGTATTCGTGCAAATGTATGTAACAGGCATAAGGAGGCATCTCCGACCCCATAAAATGTAAATATTCGTGATCAGCATTAACAGCCAAGACGATCTAGCCATGTCCGTCTGTCCGTCCGCCCGTATGTATGAACGCAAGGATCTCAGAACCTATAAGAGCTAGAGACCTGAAATTTTAGATGTAGGTCTTTCTAAAGCTTGCGCAGATTGAGTTTGTTAAGAGCTAGTTAGAGTCACCAAACTTGATATGTTGTTTCTGGGATATTATATATGCATCAGGTATATTTCATTTTATACCTATCACCACCTCCCCACTACCACCCCAGAGCTATAAATCAAGTTAATAACCCATCTTTTATTGCCAATTTAAACCACAATTTAAATGCAATTGACTTTTTGAAAATTCTCCAATATTCTAAGATACAATAAGAAAATGTAGAAAATTTCATAAAGATCGGTCAATAAAAAACCAAAGTTATAAGTAACTGCGCAATTGGATTGGGCAGCTAGCGAATACTTTCTGTATACATGTACACATACACATTCATGCGCGTCTGCTTCGCATTCTATCGCATTCTAACAGCATGGTAATTGCGAAATTTTTCTGTTATGCTATTTAAGTTTTTTTTTTCTCATAAGTACTTAATTATTGGTGTGGTTGCTGAGTAGATGCATAGCAAGTGGTGCGGTCTGTCGCGAGTTCGAGCCCTTCCGGGGAAAGTATTTTTTTTTTCGCTGGTGTGGTTCTTAAGTAGAGTTGACAGCAAGTAATGCGGTCAGTTGCGAGTTTGAACGCTGTCAAGGGAACGTTTTTAATTTATTTGGTATTAGAATAAGAGGGTTCAGGGTATTCCCTGGTCGGGAGCTCCTGACTAGAACCTCTTACTTGCTTAGTAGATATTAGTTGAAAATTCTCATTACAATTATTTTAATTTAACAAGATTGTTTTTCTATTTGCTATATATCAATTTCCTTATCTGAGGGCCGGACATAGTAATTACGAACTCTCTTTAAATATGCATTTCAAATCTCATTTTATTTTTCAGTAATGATAAAATTTGAGCAACGAGTTGATGCTGCAGTAGAAGCTCTTTCAGCGAATAGCAACAAAAATGTCGACGAAAATGACTTTATTGATGCCTCCCGATTGGTTTACGATGGTGTGCGTGAAATCCGACGTGCAGTACTAATGAACCGAGTAAGAAAAAAATATTTTTAATTTAATTATTTACATAAATAACGAATAAAACATAATAAAGCGTCCATGGGAACATTCTTTAAAGAATTAAGTATGAATAGGTATACGCATCTACTTCGTAAGCGACGAAAATAATAACCCTCCTGACCTAGCACTAATACATAACATTTACATACATAAGCAAATACTCACTCGCAATTTGCACACTTTCTTCCCTTATACGTTCCCTTCCTATAGTCGATACCAAAATATTAATGTGTTAGTATCATAAAAATGAAATTTTTTTTAATTGTGTCTTATAATAACAGAATAATTCCAATACACCATGATAACATGATAGCCAGCTGCTTGGTTTTAGAAACAAAATCCTCGCCAGACTGAATTTAGTAATGGAAGTCGCAGCTCTGCCTTGTTTGATTCTTAGAGTAGATTGAGCGAAAATCTATGATCCACTTTATTAGGGGAGACAAAGGTCAGTGGGGAAAACTGTACTGTAGGTACTGTAATGTAACTGTAATGCGCAAGACTCTAAAATAGTTGTGCATAGCGTCATCTATCGTGCACGTCTGGAGTCAGCTTAGAATTAAAGTCCACCGAAAAGAAATTAAGAATCTATGCTACCGACAAGCAACTTAAAATTCGTAAGAAAAACAAGTAAGAGGTTCTAGTCGGGAGCTCCCGACTAGGGGATACCCTGAATCCTCTTATTCCAACACCAAATAAATGAATAAAAAAAAGTTCCCTTGGCAGGGCTCGAATTTGCAACAGTCAACTGCAACTTACTGTCGACTCTACTCAACAGCCACACCAGCAAAAAAAAAATAATAATACTTTCTCCGGTAGGGCTCGAACTCGCGACAGACCGCACCACTTGATATGTCTCTACTTAGCTCTGAGGTGGTAGCGGGGAGGTGGCGATAGGTATGAAATGAAAGATACTTGGAATATCTATAATATTCTAGAAGCAACATATCATGTTTGGTGGCTCTAGCTCTTATTATTTACCCAATTTGCTAAAAAAAAAAAACAGGATGTCGATATCGATTTTTATCGATTGCTTGGAAACGGAGTAAGTTATCGTTTATCGGAAACAAACTCAATCTGCGCGGGAACTAGGAGCATCTACATCTAAAATTCAAGTCCCTAGCTCTTATAGGCTCTGAGATCCTTTGGCTCATACATACGGACGGACGGACAGACAGACGGACATGGCTAGATCGACTCGGCTATTGAAGCTGATCAAGAATATATATACTTTATGGGGTCGGAGATGCTTCCTTCTGCCTGTTACATACATTTGGATTTTGCACAAATACAATATACCCTTATACCCATTTTTAAAGGAAATCAACCGTGGCCAAAGTATTTGAGTCTTTCACCTCAAATATTAAGAAATCCAAAGCAAACGAGAGGGGTATCATAAACGGTTGAGCTTTAGAAGTAAAAGGGTATGGTGCACAGAGGGCCGTCCTAGGGTTGCTGTAAATGACGTCAGTTGGCAATTTCGAAAGAAAAGCGTTTACCAATGAAATATATTCGAGAAAGTTAGTCGCAGTGAGTGGACCGATTTTTTACGAATCCATGTTGATCAGGGGAAACAAACGCAGAACTGCTGCGTTTGATTATATGTATCCCCTGAACCCATCGAAAATGGGTAAAAAGAGTATAATGTAACTGTGCAATTGTATGTAACAGGCAAAAGGAAGCATTTCCGACCCCATAAAGTATATATATTCTTGATCAGCAACATAAGCCGCCGAGTCGATCTAGGAATGTCCATCTTTCTGTCTGTCCGTATATATGAACGCAAGGATCTCAGAACCTATAGGAGCTACTGCCCGCGCAGTACGAGTTTGTTTCCGATAGTCGAAAACTTGCGCCATTTCCACGTAATCGATAAAAATCGAAATCCTATTTTGTGAGACAATTTCTTAAATTAAAAGAGCTAGAGTCACCAAGCATGACATGTGGGTTCTAGAATAGTGTTTATACTCCAGGTACATTTTACTTTATAGCTATGGCCACCCCCCGCCTACATAACGTAGCTATAAATCAAGTAAATCAATAGATTGGAACTACCCCCCAATTTAATCCACAAATTTAATGGAATTGTTTTCTTGAGAATAAGCGAATATTTTAAAATATAGCACAATAACATTTACTGTTAAAAATGTTAAGAAAAACAGAAGTTATTATAGAAAACGTATGGATATATATATATGAAGCGCAAGAATTTCTGATTACATGTGCACACATATGCCTGCAACACCAAATATAATTACCATTGCGATTGCACTGTGTTTCAGTTGTATTCATTAGGTAATAGCTCTAGGTTTGACTGCAAGCTATTAAGCGATGGGAAGCCTTTCGTTTGCGCGGGGCGCGAGTTCAATCATAGCAGGGAGAATATTATTTTAACTACTTCCCTTCACCCATTAAAAAAGGTAAATAAGTCAAGAAAATGAATTTTTTCGGCTAAAGCCTAGTCAAGCGAGCGCGTTGCGCTAGCTATTTCTGAGTAGTATTTGTGTATGTATGAATTAGAGAGCTGCATGAATGACAAAAAAAAACACGTTCAAATGAACAATGCCAAAAATTAGTTGAGTGAAATTGAATGCGAAGCCGAATATGATTGGGACAGTGATTGCGGTCACGTAGAACTCGGACGCACAACGTTGAAACGAAAGAAAGCGAATTGAATGAGTGAGAATGCGTTGAAACGCATAAAGAAAAATACGTAGAAGAAAACAAGTAAGAGGTTCTAGTCGGGAGCTTCCAACTAGGGAATACCCTGAACCCTCTTATTCCAACACCAAATAAATTTAAAAAAAAGTTCCCTTCGAACTCGCAACTGACCGCATTACTAGCTGTCGACTCTACTCAACAGCCACACCAGCAACAAAAAAATAAAAACAAAAAAAAAATACTTTCCCCAGAAGGTCTCGAGCTTGCGACAGACCGCACCACTTGCTATGTCTCTACTCAGCAGCCACACCAATAATTAAGTACTTATGATAAAAAAAGGAACTAAAATAGCATTACAGATAAAATTCGCAATTACCATTCTGTTAAAATGCGAAGCACTCGAGCATCTCCGACCCCATAAAGTAAATATATTCCTGATCAGCATCAACAGTCGGGACGATCTAGCCATGTCCGTCCGTCCATCCGACACGCACTCACATTGCTACTCATCGTTTCATTGTGTGCCTCATTCAATTCGACTCCATTCAAAACGTGTGTTGTGAATGAAGCCGTGCAGCTCTCTATAAATTTGAAACTGCATGTATAACTGAACATAAATATTTAAACATTTTCAATTTAAGCTAGACATCATTTCCGTGTTGAAAAATTAATATTTTTACAAAAGACCATCGGGTTTTGTACACAAAAATGTAGACATATTTTCCCGCATTTATCATCCACCAAGGGGCATTTTAAATTGTCTTAAATCCTTAAAACCTTCATAACATAAGGTAACTACAATGAAAGTTTTAGCTTTTTAGCTCTTATGATCACCAATCGGTCAGTCAGTCAGGACAAGCCGTTTAATAAATAGAGATTACGCAAGAATGTGTTACTTTATTGAAGAATTATAATATATTTCGTAAATATTGATTATAGCTACATGATTTTAATAATTTACAATTCTGCTTATGTAAAATTAGAAGATAGTTTAAAAGAGGTTGACTGGTGCATTAATAATTATTATTATTGGATTGAGACTGTTATACATGTGACTCTTATAATTACTTAAATAGCCTTCTCATTTTCATATTAATATCAAATCGTCGTGGTACAAGAGTTAGTATTTTCTAACGTGCTCAGAAGAAGAAGTAATCTATTTAGTCTGTTGCCCGTGATCGCCATCACACTACAGATTTTTGCGTGTTGTCGATTTTCATTGCCGACTTTTGTGTTTTTTACTGTTTTAACAAAGAATTTTGAACAAATAAACTATTTTATCCGGTTCGGAGTAGTTGATAAAAAATTGGATGGACAGGATACTAACAATAAAAAAAATTACGGCCGTAAGTTTGTGATAAATTCGTATAAGAAATGCCATTCACACAACTGGTATTGTGAAATAGCCCCTCCCCTCCGACCATTTCAATCTAACAATGGTATAATCGCTGTGTGACGATTGAATTGCGCACGCGAATTCATGTACATTGTATGTATGCATCTATGTATACACATAGTGTGGTTGCGTTTTCCATTAGCTGCTGATTTAGACGGGGCTTGTGCCTTTTTTGAATCTTGCCCAGAATCCAGATTATACCCTGAACCGATTGAAAATCGGTAAAATGGGTATAATGTATTTGTGATAGAAAAAGAGTAATGCTTCCTCTTCCTCGGACCCCATAAAGTATATATACATTCTTGATCAGCATCAATACCTGAGTCGATCTAGCCATGTTCGTCTGTCTGTCTGTGGGTCCGACCGTCCGTCCGTATGTACGAACGCAATGATCTCAAAACCTGTAAGAGCTGGTGCGTTTTCAAGCAATAGATAAAACTTGATATCGACATCTTGTATTTTGAGCAAATCTCTTATGTTCTTATGTATTTTATAGCTATCACACATTTGTTTATTACTGATAAAGCAAGCGCGCTCATAGGGGGCTCGAGGAAGAGGGTTCAGAATATCCCCTAGTCGGGAAGTCCCGTCTGGAGCCTCTTACTTGTTTCAAGTAATTAAGGGATAGCGCACAGTTTTGTAATGCCCCTGTAGTTCTATCAGAATTCCCACCTATTATGATATGAGGAATGGTATAAGCTTCTCTCCAAAGAGGTGGAATGATGGAAGACTACAAAAAATGAAGAGGGGAAAAACTACCCTCCTTGAGTAGATGACGAATATTGTCAGGTTCAAAGTAAACAGATTTTAAAGAATTGAAAGGAATGGGAAACTGGGAGCAAATATAGAACTAAAGGAAAATATATTATAAGACATTTTATTAGTAGCGGTAAAGGAGTATATTGATTGGAAGAAATTAGCATAGCGTAAAGCAGCATCAGTATCGTCGCTTATTTTATCTATCGTAAGTAAAAAAGAATAATCCAAATTAACAATTTACGACGCTTCAAGTTTACAAAATGATAAAATTTGGCGACCTTTCCATTTTAAATTATTTTATTGGCTGATTTTTTGATTCTATCTAGTTAAAGAATTTTTTTAAGTATTCGTAGGCTTGTGTGCTACTTTTATTTCTTGTTTGTTGTAGCAGTCTGAGTTCGTGAGGCGTTCTGATAATAGGGATATGTATATTTTTGAGGGTTCTGTTGGCCTTAGGCTGTGGGAGAACAACAACAAGTGCAATGGTGTTTACATCAAAATAAAATATAAACAAGTAAGAGGTTCTAGTAGGAGGCTCCCGACTAGGGGATACCCTTAACCCTCTTCTTCCAACATCAAATATATATACATATTCTATTTTAGAAACTATATGTCAAGTTTGGTGACTCTAGCTCTTATTATTTACAAAAATTGCCCAAAAAACAGGATATCGACATCTATTTTATCGATTGCTTGGAAACGGAGTAAGTTATCGATTATCGGAAACAAACTCGATCTGCGCAGGCACCAGAAGCACCTACATCATTTCAGGTCGCTAGCTCTTATAGGTTCTGAGATCCTTGCGTTCATACATACGGACGGACGGACAGACAGAAGGGCAGGGCTAAATCGACTCGGCTATTGATGCTGATCAAGAATATATACTTTATGGGGTCGGAGATGCTTCCTTCTGCCTGTTACATACATTTGGATTTTGCACAAATACAATATACCCTTATACCCATTTTTAATGTGTTCAGGGTATAAAAATTTGGCGAATTTTTGTTTCGAGAATGAACTTTAGATTGTAATCGGGACTGGATATAGCATTAGTAAACTTATATTAATTATCTACTTAAATTTGAAAATTTTTTATATCCTTTATTCTTAATTATCATTTCAGAGTTCTGATGATCTAGATACTGACACAGAGTTCGAACCAGTCGAAGACTTAACATTGGAAACGCGTAGTCGATGTAACTACCTTTTATTATACTACACTTTAAAAATGAAAAGATTATTTTGGTTACGTGAAACGCGTTTTCGTGTACATATATATAAATTATTTTTCTTGGCTTCGTGTATCTAGGGACATTATCATTTTCAGTCAGTTGTTTTTTCCCGAAAAAAGTTTTAGTTACAGTTAGTTTAAAAGTTCAAAATTTACACGACCGTTATTTGGTTTGTCTTAAACAATTTTTTTTCACCTACTTAGTGGATAAAAGGATGTATGAGGAACATCAAAACAAGTTAGAGTCTCTCATCGGGAGTTCCCGACTAGGGGATACCCTGAAACCTCTTCTACCAACACCAAATGCTGCTCGCGCTACGAGTTCGTTTGCCTTAGCAGTAATACAAAAAAATTGAAAAATAATAAGGCCCCGGTAATCGGACTCAAACTCAACACATAACACAGCAATATAAACACGCCAATGAAAATAATACAATCACACTTGCAATGCTGTCTATAGAATTCAATACATACCCCCAAAAATGTGTACATGTATGCATTCATTCTTGCAATTTGCGCGAGATGTCACAAGCGAGATGTGATAGCGGTAGCTATCAAATGAAAGATACTTATATATATATATATATATATATATATATATATATATATATATATATATATATATATATATATATATATATATATATATATATATATATATATATATATATATATATATATATTCAAAAAGTAACATGTCAAATTTGGTGTCTAGCTTATAAAACCTTAAAGATCTGCTCTAAACAAAAATGATTTTGATATCGGTTGCTTGGAAACGAGGCTGGAAGGACCTACGTTGAGGTGAAAATTGATAAAAAAAAAAAAAAAAAAAAAAAAAAAGGTATAATGTTTTTTGTGCAAAAGTATGTAACAGGCATCTGCAACCTGCTTGCGCAGAACGAGTTTGCTTCCGATAATCGTTACTTGCCCCGTTTCCAAGCAATCCATAAAAATCGAAATGGAAAAACTGCTTATTTTAGCAATTCTCTTAAGTTTTAAGAGCCAGATTAACCAAATTTGACATGTCGCTTCTATAATAATATATTCAGATCAAGTAACTTTATAGCCAATTTAATCTAAAATTTTAATTCAATGTTATCGCAAAATAAGATATGCTGAAAATTTGATCATTATTAGTTAAGAAACACATTGCCAGAATTTTTCTGAATACATATACACAAAAATTGAATTATATAAACAGCATTGAAATAAATTGAGTGTGTGGCTGTCAAGTAAAGGCGATGTCAAGTAGTGTGGTCGCTAACGGGTTCGAGTTTAATTTTTTAATTATACGTAGTTAATTCATAAGCAGACTAGCTCGTAGCACGAGCTGTATTTGATGTTGGTAGAAGAGGGTTCAGGGTATACCCTAGTCCGGAACTCGCGACTAGAGCCTCTTACTTGTTATCGGTAACATAGTGTGATTACACATTTATATCTGAAAAATATTGTATTGTACTTTACTTATTCAAGTTTGCGATGCCAGTAGTAAGGCTATGGGAAAAAAATCCACAGAAAATGCATAAAGTGTGGTATGATTTCTTTTGTCCGTGTTTGTCTATATATTTTGCTAATCTATATGGTTAATTCACAATAATACATGAAAAAATGTCTTATTTATCCCAATATTTTTTTCAATGCAAAAGAAGAAAAAATTTTACAGATATTGAAAACTACGAAAACACGTTAATAAATGAACACTCAGTTTTCGGCATATATGCAGTGGTCGGCATATATATTTTGACCAACACTACTTTTCACAATCAGCGTTTGCTCAGTTCATCTGCATTGGGTAACGATTTATTTATTGCAATAAAGTAAATCTTACCAAAGCTTGTACCGATATATTAGAAGGAAATTTTTTATAACGAGTAAGAAGGCTGTAATCGAGAGAGCTCGAGGCAATATAATATTTTGGTTTATAGCACTACGTTTTGAATTTTTCAAGTTATAAAATATAGCCCAGTATGAAATCCGAAATGCTTGTACAGGAGCAGGTCACTTATTTTAATACGAGGTCAACAGCACAACTTCTCAGCGACTAGCTTTCGCCTGCGCCATACTCTAGGAAATTTATTGTTAAATAATTTCTGTTTGTATTTCGATTTGCATAAAATTTAATGGCTCTAGCTTTAAAACAAGTAAGAGGTTCTAGTCGGGAGCTCCCGACTAGGGGATACCCTGAACCCTCTTATTCCAACACCAAATAAATTAATAAAATAAAGTTTCCTTGGCAGGGTTCGAATTTGCAACTGACCGCATTACTTAGTGTCGACTCTACTCAACAGCCACACCAGCAAAAAAAAAAATAATAATACGTTCCCCGGTAGGGCTCGAACTCGCGACAGACCGCACCACTTGCTATGCCTCTACTCAGCAGCCACACCAACAATTAAGTACTTATGATAAAAAAAAGGAACTAAAATAACATTACAAAAAAAAGATGCAATTACCATGCTATTAGAATGCGAAGCAGACGCGCATGAATGTGTGTGTGTACATGTATACAGAAATTCTTAAAGCTGCTGCCCCATTCAATTGCGCAGTTGCATATAACTTTGGTTTTTCTTAACAGATCCTTATGAAATTTTCCACAGTATATCTTATTGTAGAATATTTGTGTATTCTGAAAAAGTCAACTGAATTTAAATTGTGGCTTAAATTGATTAGCAATAAAAGTTGGGTTATTAACTTGATTTATAGCTCTGCAGTGTTATCGGGGAGGTGGCGATATGTATAAAATGAAAGATACTTGACATATATATAATATTCTAGAAGCAACGTATCATGTTTGGTGGCTCTAGCTCTTATTACTTACCCAATTTGCTAAAAAAAAACAGGATGACGATATCGATCTCGATCTGCCCGGGAACTAGGAGCATCTACATCTAAAATTTCAAGTCTCTAGCTCTTATAGGTTCTGAGATCCTTTGACTCATACATACGGACGGACGGACGGACAGACGGACATGGCTAGATCAATTCAGCTATTGATGCTGATCAAGCATATATATTCTTTATGGGGTCGGAGATGCTTCCTTCTGCCTGTTACATACATTAGGATTTTGCACAAATACAATATAACCTTATACCCATTTTTAATGGGTTCAGGGTGTAATTAAGTATCAATATTGCGAGTATTGGGAAAGGTATTAAAAACTGAATTATTCCCATATTGTGTATACAATACCAGATCCTATATACCTTTGGTGTATCAAGCTATCAAGCTGTTATAATTTTTGAGTTATACCACTAACCATACAATGTGTAGACATACCAAATGACCCTTTTTATCGGCCATTTTAGTGTGCCCAGACAGAGTAAGACTGCTGAAAGTGGCAGCCGAACGCCGGCCTCAAAAGCCGAACGTTCAGTATGAAGACGCAACTCGATCAGCGCACAACGTCGTTGCGGCTGATGCGTTTTCTTAATATATGAATGTATGCCATTTTTAAATCCTTACAGCCCAAAAACATATGTGTGTATGCATGTGCCTCGCTCTCACTCATTGCTTCGAGCACTTGCGTCCATCTATTTCTCCATGCATAGCTTCCCACAAAACCCCGTGATCTACAAATATTTATACGTTTGTGTTGTGTGGATGTGCGCACAAGTAGATCACAGCGTTTGTCGCGAGCCAGAGGTTATTTATTCAATGAGTGCATCTTGTGCTTGTGGTAGCAATAGGCACTCACATTTAAATGCTCTATCATGTATTTCTTCGTCCAGTCAGGCATGATAAGAAGAATTTGATATAATTTTATTTAATACACAACTAATTGACCTACATGAAATATTTATATTTATTTTCAGTTTACTGTAGGGACCCATTTTGCTTAAAATACAAAAATATCTAAGTCGTCTTTCTACAGGGGTAATTCATCATCGGCTAGTAAAAATTTTCAGAAAAGACCAAAAATTGACAATGTTCAATTTTTGCGACTTGCTGCTTGTGCACACGCACACTCTTATAGTGCCCACGTAGTAAAGTTTGTTTAAATTTATCGATGTAACTTGCCCAGTATCCACGAAAGCAATAAAAATTAATACCGATATCATGTTTTGGCTATATTGATTTTAAGAGATATGCGTCACCACATTTGGCATATAGCTTTCTCATATAGTATGCATAGATTAGATATTTTCCATTTTTTGGATAATATCTAACAACCGCCCACGAGTGTGTGCTTGTGTTATGAAGTATTTTCAGGTTATCTCCTTGAATGTACCAATACAGTTATGAGTTTCTTATGCAAAAACATTATTATATACTTAGATACTAGAAACTGGCATTACTCAAAATTGGATATAAAAATAATTTAATATACATACATTTATTTTCAGCAAGCGCTCACACTGGTGATCAAACTGTTGACGAATATCCGGACATTAGTGGTATTTGTACTGCTAGGGTAAGGTGAACCACGCTTGAGTAAATAATACGCATTACTTATATTGTTTGAACTAATTAGGAAGCAATGCGTAAAATGACAGAAGAGGATAAGCAAAAAATTGCACAACAAGTAGAACTATTTCGTCGCGAGAAACTTACTTTTGATTCTGAGGTTGCAAAATGGGATGACACTGGCAACGACATCATTTTCTTGGCAAAACATATGTGTATGATAATGATGGAGATGACTGACTTCACTAGGTATTTCTTTACGTATACATTGAGATTACGCTTTCGATTTCTTAAAAGTATAAATTCTTTATTTTTCCGATTTAAATTCTCGTATAGTAACTACATTTGTTTTAAAATTTAATCTGACAAAATTACTTAGTTCATTACCGCAACTTAATTTATATGCTTAATTAATTTGAAACAAGTAAGAGGTTCTAGTCGGGAGCTCCCGACTAGGGGATACCCTGAATATATATATTCTATTTTAGAAACTATATGTCAAGTTTGGTGACTCTAGCTCTAATTATTTACCAAAATTTACCAAAAACAGGATATCGATATCGATTTTTATCGATTGCTTGGAAACGGAGTAAGTTATCGATTATCGGAAACAAACTCGATGTAACAGGAAGAGGGAAGCATCTCCGACCCCATAAAGTATATATATTCTTGATCAGCACTAATAACCGAGTCGATCTAGCCATGTCCGTCTGGCTTTTCGTCCACCCTTTTGGATGAACGCAAGGGTCTCAGAACCTTCAAGAGCTAAGCTACAGACATAAAATTTCCAACGTTAGTCATTCCAGTGCCGCGTAGTACGAGTTTGTTTCCGATGAAACCAATTTAAGTCACAATTTATTGCAATTGTCTTTTTGAGAAAAGATGAATATTCTTCAGTACAAATAAATACTTTGTTAAAAACGTGTTTTGGCTGGCCACTAGTTCACGGCGCAAATTGCAAGAAATTCTGTATACATGTGCACACACATATTCATGCGCGTCTTTTCTAAAGCTCTATCAACAGCATTGCGATTTCGGTTTTATTATTTTCTGTGCTGTGTGTATGTGCTGATATTTTGATACGTTTTTTTGAGTAGAGGCGGTGGCAAGTAATGTGGGCTGTTACAAGTTCGAGTCCTATCGTTGAATTATTTTTTTGTCGATTTTTTTTTTTATAGAAATAGCCATAAGTTTTTGGCAATAATAAACCACGTTAAAAGCATTATTTAAACAACAATTTGTATTACTGTTAAAGTAAACGAGCTGGTAGCGCAGGCCTGGCTTCGCATCTGGCTTTTCCCACTTCACACGACATGCCAGCCGACTGGCTGTTCGTTCTCCAAAAGCCAGACGAACGAAAAAGTCACGGCTTGCTGATGCTGACACGAGCAACGGAGTTAGTTGATAGCCTGCCTTCAGAAAAGCTGGTCGGTGGTATTTCGCGTCGCTTCATTTTGAAGTACATTGAGCAAAAACATTTTTAAACTGACAATCGACGCATAGTACCTTTCCATGAAATGAATGCTTTACTTAAATAATACATTTTACAGAAAAATTTTAAAGTAAAAAAATTTGTTCACAAAGCGCATTTTGTTCTTAAACTATATTGAGAAAATAGCACACGTAGATTGATTTAACTTTCGGTTTTGGACAGTGTATGCTCGAAAGAAGTTCTTGTCTCAGCCAATGGTGGGGAAGCACCTATGTTTTTATGCGTGAATTATGCATGCATAAGTACATCAAAATATGTATGTGTGTTTTTTCTAGCGCTGATCATGGCCTACCCCAAATTTGTATTCACATATGATGCATGTTGTGAACTGGGGTTGGCTCGATAGAAAATCTGTATTCTTGAGTCGATGCAAATATTAAAATAATTTCTTTAAGTTTGATTATTAACATATAATATAATATTGTTTTTCTTAACTAATTGAACCTTATAGATTAAATTACAGTAATGACTTAAATTATTATTTTCAAATATAGACTTTAGCTGCTGCATGCCTTTGGTTCAGGGTACCCCTGTCAGGAATTCCTGACTAGACCAGCTTTTAAGTTGCCTATAAATAATCTGTCAGCCACAAAGCAAAGCAAAACAAGTAAGAAGTTCTAGTTGGGAGCTCCCAACTACGGATACCCTCGAACTCGCGACAGACCGCACCACTTGCTATGCCTCTACTCAGCAGCTACACCAATAATTAAGTACTTATAATAAAAAAGGGACTAAAATAGCATTACAGAAAAAAGTCGCAATTACCATGCTGTTAGAATGCGATAGAATGCAAAGCAGACGCTCATGAATATGTGTGTGTACATCTATACAGAAATTCTTAAAGTTTCGCTAGCTGCCCCATCCAATTGCGCACTTACATATAACTTTGGTTTTATCTTTACCGATTTTTATGAAATATTCTACAGTATATCTTATTGAACCATAGAATATATGAGTATTCTCAAAGAGTCAATTGCATTTAAATTGTGGCTTAAATTGGTTGGCAATAAAATTTGGGTTATTAACTTTATGGGGTCGGAGATGCTTCCTTCTGCCTGTAGCATACATTTGCATTTTGCACAAATACAATATACCGTTTTACCCATTTTTAATGGGCTCAGGGTATAAAAGTGTAGGGGTTCCCTATTTTAGGTATTTTAGACAATTTCGTTGAAGGCTTTGCTTAATTGGGTTTTTATATTGACAATGTAGATCCTACATATATAAATACTCAAAACGTATGCAGTGAGCAAAATTGAATTCTTTGCTGTTTGTTTGGTTGAGAACGAGTTCCAATTAACCAACTTTCACTGGTAACACTATTAATTTCGGGTTAAACAGGTGTACCGGTGCACTTGGGTGCAGACAGACACATGAATTAGGTAGCTTAGTTAGCTTATAAATTTCTGAAAGATAAGGTAACATACTATTATCGGCTTATTTTTCCGATTACCGAGCCGCTCCTAGCAGATTCGGTTATTCGCCTCTCTTTCGGAGTACCTGCTTTACTCATGCAATAGTCTCTTATATACTAGTAGCCCGTTTTTAGTTCGCGGACCTTACAATATACCGCGAAATTAAAAAAGCGATATCGGACCGTTTCTCCAACTATTTCAATTGTATAAATGCGGAAAAATTAAAAAAAAATTTTTTTTTCGTAAAAAATACTGCACAAAAGAGTTTTCTTGATTTAAAATTATATGTAATAAAGTTTCAAAACATAAGACTATATAATCATAGGCATTTTTCAACCGCATAGATTAAAGAAGAAAAGTGAAAAAAATACCAAACTTGAAAGATTATAAAAAAAAAAAAAATATAAATATTTTCAATGTTTTTTTCTTCTAATATGGGACCTCATGTGTATCACTAGGTTTGGTAACGTACACCATATGGCTAGGGTAATCAATTAACTGCTTAGAAACAGTTCTCTCTAAACATATTTTTGTTGTATGTGTGTTTTATTTGAATCTAGAAAATTTCCCTTAATTTTATCTAAATGTATATATTTGTATATTAGCAATACCCCAAGCTGACATTGAAATTATTATATTATATTTAATATTAAATTATAAATGAAAGTGGTATATAAATATTTATAATCCATTCAAATATTTAGAGGCCGTGGTCCGTTAAAGACTACCATGGATGTTATCAATGCCGCCAAGAAAATATCGGAAGCCGGTACAAAACTCGATAAGCTTACCCGTGAAATAGCAGAGCAATGTCCTGAAAGTAGCACTAAAAAAGATTTATTGGCATATTTGCAACGTATTGCTCTCTACTGTCACCAAATTCAGATAACTTCTAAAGTCAAAGCGGATGTACAAAACATAAGCGGGGAACTGATCGTTTCAGGGGTAAGAATTTATTCGTATTTTGTTTCGTTGTCATTATCGATATTTTGATTTTTTTATTATTTTTTTTAGCTGGATAGCGCAACTTCTTTGATCCAAGCCGCTAAGAATCTGATGAATGCTGTAGTGCTTACAGTAAAATATTCTTACGTAGCATCAACAAAATACACAAGACAAGGCACTGTCACTGTAAGTTTACCTATCCCCATTTTATATTAATATTAACTTATACAATTTTACAAATTTTTTCGTAGTCTTAAATATTATAAAAAAAAAGATTGGCAAATGTCGCAGAAACTAATTATTGGACTTTTATGAATAGGATAAATGATTTTCCGCACTCGGCTGCATTCCTTTCTTATTAGCAAAAAATATAAATAGAAATTTGGGTATACAATTGATTGAGTTGAAAATTGAAATGTTCTCTAGTAGAACATATCCTGTAAGCAGTTCTGAGATGCCATCACAAACATTCGAATGTATTTCTATACATACAACAAAATTTGTAAGAAATAGATTGCGTAGTACTATATTGTTCTTAAGAAATATATTGCAAGGAAAATAGAAAATTACTGCTTTAATCGGGGGTGCCCGATTATGAGACTTTCTGTACCCAGACAATCATTCAAGTCTGTCTTTACAATCATTCAAGTTTTCATTGTTACATAAGAATTGGAATTATAATAGGCATACTGGCAGCACAGCAAGCCCCGAGTGTCGCTGTAATACCATGTGTCTTTTTGAAAGCACTAGTCTAGCGCACTACTGTCTTTTAGTACTGTTAGTGAACACTGAACACTGAATACTAAACTGTACCTTAAAAACACAATCGGGAATTGCTCCTTTTTGTCTCACACCATGCTTTCAGCAGCAACCCTTGTACAAGTAGGACAGCATTATTGCATAACAGTAGCAGCTTTCAAAAGTACTTCTTACACTTAATCCTTAACATTACACAAAAACAATAACAATAATCAAAAGGATATAATATTGTTTTTTACCTTCAATCTTTTTTCAATGAAAATAAGGTAAACAAATTACAAAATCTGTTAACCATCAAGACATAAATGCCTATTCAATTTAGTCATAACGATAACTGATCTGCATCTAGTCATCTGGTATTAAAGCTAGTGGGTTAACGAGTTATCAGACGCCGTAAAGACTCTCACTATATTATGATTTGTGCCATTCAAGTAGATATAAGCTGCACGTTGAAATCAAGGTATTAATAAGTTATTCTTCTTTCTTTAAGTCTCCAATCGTAGTATGGAAAATGAAGGCACCAGAGAAAAAACCACTAGTGCGGCCTGAGAAACCTGAAGAAGTTCGCGCTAAAGTTCGAAAGGGATCGCAGAAAAAAATTCAAAATCCTATTCATGCTCTTTCTGAATTCCAAAGTCCTGCTGATGCTGTTTAAAGGACACGATATAAAATTATAAACTTAAGTATTATATACCTACTTATTATTTTATGATAAACATAAACTGTTAACTGGTAACAGATTTTCATCAAATATATACTTTACGATTTGCCTATATTAAATGGTTATATATTAAGCTGTTTGTTCTAACTGACTAGTGACTTAAGCGTATTATATCGGGTAAGGACGATAGTGGGCACAAGGCGGCGTTTTCCAATTTTGAACAATCGGTTGTGATTAATGGTCTATATGGTGCAAAGGTTTAAATACCATTCAAGCACATCATAAGGTGTATAAATATTGAGAAATACAAAATTTATTCATTTTTAGAAAGATTTTTCCTATAGAAATTCATAATATTGTAGTCCAATGTTGTGAAGATATTGCTAAATATAAGGAGCATAGTTAATTTAACTGCCGGGGCTTGTCAAGTTCTCTTGGATTGGATTGGGGCCTTTCTGGCGTGCTTCCGCTGATGCCCATATCGTTACTGCATACAGTAGAACGGAAGTTCCAAATCTCGTATGAAGCCAACGTCTACCTAAAAAGGGCTCAAAAGAACTGCAATCTACACGGGGTCGAAAGCTAAGCCTGTTGTCTAGCATGGCTTCCAGTAACTTGATGGAAACCTTTGACTCGATACTAACATTGTCAACCTGGAATCTTGCAAACTCAATTATCTTGCGGCATGTGATAAGCACAACCTCTGTTTTGTTAAGGAGGAGGAGTGGTCCCAGGACGGACCCCTGTGGGACCCGTGAGACCCTATAACTCCTAGCACCGTCTTCCGCGTCATAACTCACTACCCGATCGTTGCATATTATACGGATAGGGAGGACGGTATCCCTATTCAGGCTAAGGCTCCCTGGATGCATGACCAGCTTGCTGCCTCTATTGCTTTAGCTGCAATATCTACCACCGCCTTAAATGCTTTGACCGTAGACCTTGCTTTCTAAAATCCGTACTGATGCTTGGAAACGCCTCCTTGTCCTCCTCTGGTAGAAGTATTGGTCCCTGTCCCTTCCATCACTTCGGGAGTACTCTGTAAGCATCTAGTATATGTCTCGGCGAAGATTCGTTGTCATGGCTAGTTTCATCGCCTTGTTTGGCACACCATCTGGGCCTGGGCCTCTCTGTCGCCTAAATCCTAAATCTCTTATCTCCGCCTTCCTCCAGTAGCAGTGTACTCCTCTTCTTCTTGGCTTCCTTATAGAGATGTCTTTCCATTTAGGACCTGTTGTTTGCGTCTCTCTCCCATGGGTCTCGAAGTGTTCCGCTTGATGGTCGCTGAATGTAAATGCATCGCTCCCTTTCCACGTAGTCCGCCTATGTACCGAGAAGCTGAGCAGGGTAGGGTCTACAACAGAGCCTCTGCCGGCCTTGCAATATGTCAGCTGCTGCCCGCCATTTGCAAGGCCCTCATCAATCACGATTCAGCAGACTGTCCCCCCTCGCGTTGATTTCCTTGCTTGCCTATTCCACTGCCCTAGCGTTTAAGTCCCCCGGTATGACAAGGGGAGCTCTGTTGCGAGCGTCTTCGGGTATCTCCTCCATATTCGGAAATCGCCGCAGTTCCCAGCTTGGCGGGTTGAAGCAATTGTAGAAGGTGACTACGTTGATTTTTGCTCTCACGAATCAGTCGTGGGCTGATCTTACTTCCTGGATCGGTGATTTAAGGGACCAAAAGGCAGCTTTGCTGCTTTTGCTTGCCATCCAGCCGCTCCCAGCGATGGGCTTGTATTTCTGCCACTATTAGCAGTCTTACTCCCTCTGGGAATAACAAAATGGTCGCAAGCACTCATGGGCATTGTTTGTTGCATATGCGGCAACTATTAAGGTCACGATTGTATGTAGGATCTAGGACTCAGTTATTCCTTAGCGTTCCTGTTTTTTTTTTTGTTAATTTGTATATTGTTAGATACTTTTTATTAAAAATTGTTCTTTATTCTTGTTTATGCTTGAGTCAGAATTGAGTGAACATTGACAGTGGCGTGATTTTTAGGATGAATTGTAGGTGTTTACCAGAAGGGGACAGTTTGATGTTGACCAATGTCGATGTTATCACCAAGTTGTGTGTTTAAAATATTTGTAATACTTACACGCCTATGCTTGAATTCTAATAGCTATGACATTTGTGAATGGTATATATAGTGTGTTAATATATACTTATATGATAAATATATACTATATGTACATATGCATATATAAAAATGTTTGTCCTGACTAGCTGACTGATTGGTGATCAACGCACAGCCCAAAACGTAACAGCTAGGAAGGTGAAATTTTCACTTTAGTTACATTCTGTGGGTTGCGGGAAAAACGTTTGTATAAAACTTTTTTGTTTACTATCGGCCGATCGGCCTCAAACTCATTTTCAAAAATCTTTGTTCAAATTCATTTGGGGGGTGTTTCGCACTTTCTGGGGGACAAAAATTTGGTGGTTGACGTTTCGCGCTCAAATTTCTACCAAGGACATAATCAAAAATTATTTGAGACGTGTTTCAAATTTTTGCAAAACAAAGAATCAAAGATAATTTTGATGAAGTTTTGAGTTTTGTCCGATTAGCTTCAAACTTATTTTCGGAGCTCTACATAAGAACTTAATAAATACGTGTTTCAGCGACCAGCAAGTATGGAAAAATCGCGAAAAATGTTTTGTTTACCATCCGATCGGCCTAAAACTCATTTTCGAAGAAATTTGTTCAAATTCATTTTAAGGGTGATTCGCACTTTTTTTAAAATGCATTCCTCCCTGGTGGAAATGGGGGTCAATGCTTTGGTGAGTGACATTGCGCACTCAAATTCATTTCCGAAGATATATATGAAAAATCATTTTAGATGTGTTTCACACTTTTCGCAGAATCCAAACTTCTTCTGTAGAAATGCGGTTCAAAGATTTTTTGGGCTAAGTTGTTAGTTTTGTCCGATTTGCTTCTAACTTATTTCCAATGCTTCACATAGGAACTGAAGGTATACATGTATGCATATATACATACATATATACGTGCAATCGTATCCGTATAAAAACTTTCGGGTAGTAGTTTGTTAACATTGACCCTTTGGGACGTAAAGACTTCTAGAAAGTGAACGAATATCACACACACATAATATAACAGCAATTACGACTAGCTTAGGATATCTTGTGATCCCTGCAATACGTAATTACTGGGTCTTTCTAATAAGATAAAAAAACAAATAATAACCACTAACTAGAAAGAACTCAAGAACTTCAAAAGCTTTATGCTTAAGTCACAACAACAATTACAAGAAAGTTACCTGACAGGCTTAACGTGAAGTTAGGTAGATACGATGTTACGTCGACACACACACATTAAACAAGTAACAGGTTCTAATCGGGAGCTCCCGACTAGGGAATACCCTGATCCCACTTATTCCAACACCAAATTAATTTTAAAAAAAAAAGTACCCTTGGCAGGGTTCGAACTCGCAACTGACCGTACTAGTTGCTGTCGACTCGATTCAACAGCCACACCAGCAAAAAAAAAAAAAATACTTTCCCCGGTAGGGCTCGAACCCGCGTCAGACCGCACCACTTGCTATGCCTCTACTCAGCAGCCACACCAATAATTAAGTACTTATGATAAAAAAAAAAAAACTAAAATTGTATTACAGAAAAAAGTCGCATTTACCATGCTGTTAGAATGCGAAGCAGACGCGCATGAATGTGTGTGTGTACATGTAAGTAAACAACCGCAAGCTTGAGTTTGCTGACAACGCTGTTGAGCCGGATGCTACAAAGTTGCAGCCGAAATCCGAAACTCGCCGACTCAGCATTCAGCCGGCACTCCAGCCGGCATCGGTGGCTTCATGGTTCGATGCAGCTTGCCCTAAGCTTTAGTTTTGAATTTGTTCTCTTATAGTTCTAACGAACTTGTATTAAAAACGGATTACAAAAATAAAAGATACTTTAACTGAATATCAAAAAGCGTTAATTATATAATAAAAATACTTTAACTGAAGAGTCAAAGAGTCTTCTTTTAATTGACGCCCAAATGGGAAATAACCCAACTGTTTTATAAGTGATCGTACAGTCGCCCACCGAAGCTCTTTGAGCTAAACGGTAAGAGCCGTGGTGCAATTGTGTGAACAACAACAATTAAAACAAAACACAGGGAATAACTCTGAGAAAACGCGAAAAGTCTCGATGTGAAACAATAAAAAACATACAACAATAAATTAAGTGCTACAAAAAAAAAAAACAGTGGAAAATAAAACACTCACGCACCACAAATCTTAAAAAAAAAAATAATAATAAAAACCCCAGCCAAGAGAGCGAGTTAATCAACAAATACGAGTGGCCGGCAGTGTTCCACTGGAAAATAACGTATCACAGCGGCCACCACACCACTTGATTGAAGCCCATATTTCAGAGCTGTATAGTATGAGATGTCATTGTTTACAAAATAAACTTAAGCAAGATAGTGCCTGTTGCAGCAAAGTGTTAAAGAACCTTTAATAAGTCAGAATTAAAATTTATTCCGAAACGGTCTGATTTTTATTTTGCGCCCACTGCAATGCCAAACCAAAGCGGACGACAGTAGTGGCGACGAACTGATCTCTTCGTACTTATAGCAGCGGTCTTTAGAAGGAAAAAAAAAAATGAATGCAGAACAAGTTGCCCATTTGGAGGCAAAGGTTCAGGCAGCCCTTGACCATCAAGCCCTCTTATTTGAACAAAAGATAGCCTCTCTGACAGACCAGCTTAATAAAACTAGAGCTTCTGCACCGCAGACAGAAATTTTCCACGAAATAGTAATCGAGCCAGGGCCCCATTGCAACGAACCCTTAGATATTATAAAGTCCGTCCCCGAGTTTGACGGGAAAATAGAAAACTATGTTTCATGGAGGCAAGCCGCTTTCGCAGCCTACAAAGTGTTCGAGCAATACAACGGCAGCTCAAGACACTATCAGGCAGTAGCTATAATCAGAAATAAAGTAAGGGGATCAGCAGATGCTGTGCTGGCCTCATTCAACACAGTGTTGAATTTTAAAGCTATTATTGCTAGGCTAGATTTTACATACGCCGACAAAACACCGGTACATGTAATGCAACAGCAACTAAACACGCTTCAGCAGGGCAACCTGTCACTGC